TTTTTCTATCGCTTTTTAGCGTAGTAAAATTAATTCCAAAACTTAATATCAAATAAACATTATAATATTAAAAAAAAAAACGTGAGTTTCATAATCATGTAAAATGAAAGTTCCATAATCATGTCATGTAATACAAAAATCCAAAAACATATCAAATCATAATCTTATAAAATAAGTATCATTGTGCCAAAAATGAATAAGTATCATTGTGCCAAAAATGAATACAGAATTGTCATCAAATTTTACAAGATCTTGTAAAGCTGCTGCGACCTCGGAAGTCTTTACTAATATATCAGTTGCAGACAAAAATCTGACAACCCTTCTCACCATAAGGTGGCGATAGTAGTCCTGGACAGCCTAAAATTTCAAAAATTAAATGAATGAAGATTAACCATCACAACTCCTTATTGTTTTGTCAACACAAAAAATTATCGAAATAAAAAATGGATTAAAAATTAATAATATAAACTCACCCAAAACCATGATATGTAAATTAGAGCTGCAAAATCTACAAAACTTCAATAATACTAGTGATAAAAGAAATACAAGCTACAAACTTACTTGCCACTGAGAGGAAGCTAAAAGCACTCTCGGCCGAATTGACTTTACATATTCATATGCAGCATCAGGTGACATCAATTTATGGTGCACCTACACCAAAAAGATCACAATGTAAGAAAATAACAGCACCAACCTGTCATATTTTGATTTTTCTACTCTTCTATGATTGGGAACTAACCAGTGGCGGAGCCAGAAAAATTCTAAAGCCAGAGCAAAAATTCAAAAACCACAAATCCACATTGTATATAATAGCATGTACTCCTATTTATTTCAACTATCATCCTTTGAAGACCGCAAATCCACATTATATTATAATCCGCAAGAGTTTAATGGATTGATAATATAAAATTGATTTTCACTTTAAATTTCAATAATTATATATGCCTACTATTTTAAAATAAAATAAATTAGAGCGGTCTATAGAAGACTTACTTGGTAACCTCCAAATGTTAGGAAGCTTGCAAATCCACAACCTTCACCGGCAGTGAAAAACCATTGGAAGAATCCCCACACAAAGCTATACAAGAGGTATTTTCCAAGTGTTTGTATTTGCTCCTTTGCTAATTTGACCCCTTTTGTTGAATGGTAACCACTGATAAGATCTGCTGTGGCAGTAGCGCTTGAAAATGCCAATTTCAAGTCAACAATAAGAAGCTGCAACAATTCAACATCCAATAATTAAATAGCTAAAATTCATTCAAACAATCGATCAAACAACGAAGCAACAAAGTTTACATATAGACGCAATTAGTTGGTGTACCTTTCAGAGTGGAACCGCTAAAAAATGGCCAAGAAAACTAACAGCAAATAGAAATGAAATCATCCATCCTAATGCTGGAATCTTAGTATCTATGGAACTGCTTGCATCTGAATTTTGTATTGCAACGGATGGACTCATTCCAAACAATAACAACAATTCAGCATCATAATTCGTAAGAAACAAAAACGAAAAAAAGAAAAGAAACTTGGTTGAGGCAATTTACCAAACACTTAGTGTGCAACTTGCAAAACGGTGGAAACAACAACAATTTGATACCGATTCATAAACCACAACCTGCAGGCTGCAACAACAACAATCATCAACAAAAATAATAACGCATTTCATTGTGTGTCTGAGTCTGACTTTTTGGTTAATGCGGCTACCTCCCTCTCCTGTTGTTTCTTCAGATGTGTCTGCGCGGTTGAATTCACTATCTTGATGAAGAAGTTTATGAGCATGAGCCATACCACAGTATTCCAGATTGAGGCTGCCTGCTATCCAAGATACACAAATTCAAACTCAATTAAGAAGAACAATGTTTCTCCACATGTTCATATTATTGAGAGTTAAAAGTATATTTTCATATAACCAAGTGCCATAAAAATATGATACTAGTACAGTTACAGAGCATTTTCATCAGTGTGAGCATGAAAAAAATAACATTGAGTTTGTTTAAGTATAATATGTTGAGAGTGATTTGTACTGAATCGGTTTGCTAAAGTATAGTATGTTAAGTATGATCTGTAGTGAATTTTCTGAGTTTTTACATTGTTCCGGTTTGACATATTAATTTCCACATGTAATGCAAAAGAGAGGACGTAAGGGGGTTAAACTGTTAATGCATCCCAACAGCTTAACAATTATAAGTGAAGTCCTCCTAGCCTGTTTATGATTGCAAACTAAGTCAATGCCATAAAGCAAACTGAGAAGATTATACGTGTACCAATAATCTAGTTGTTCGTCAAATAACAGATAAAATGTCGCTGAAGAATACTCTGTTGCAGAACCAAAGTAATGCCAATATATAAAAGCTTAACTGTAGCTGACTATACTTTAGTGATAGATAAACAAACTCACCAATAAGGTTCTCAGCCGAAAATTGTAGACAGATGGACTTTAACTCCGTAGCATGATGGCGATCGGCAAGAGCCAGAATATAGGCAACAGAATCTATAGATGTCTTTGCAAAGTACAGACTCACACGTCAGCTTAAGTCTAGGCAAGTCATACTTTTCGGCAGCCGCTAATAACTTTGCTGCAAATGTTTCAGATATTGAAGGCAGAAACGATGAACCTGACATGAAGAACTCTTCATCTTCTATAAGAGCATCTCTGTAAATAAAATGAAGCAAAGCCTGCTCAACAATAGGATTCAAGAAACATTAGATAACCAAGAAAATAATATGTAACACTTGATTAGTTAGAACATGCATGTTTGCATATAGCATGCAATAAAAGATAGCTGCAAAAGGATGGAGGAAAAATGACACTTTAGAGGAAAAGAGCTACCTTGAAAACCTTAGGTTCCATGTCCGTAACAACGACATCACAGTCATCTACCTCCATCCTATTGAAAAACTCAGTTTCAAATGCAGTTGAATGGGCTGCCATAACAAGTTTGTGTGCGTGAAACCTTTCACCGCCAACAGAGAAAGTAACATCAGATCCTTCCTCATTCTCTAACATCATGCCGAAATGCGATCCAATATCAGATTCAGGAACATGTATGGTGGTCAATTTAGAACAATCTATGGACGACACAACAACACCAACAATGCAATTTATCTTCAAGTAGTCATCCTTAAGAAATCAAAGTAAATAGCCTTGCATCACCATCATCCAACTTATGTTCCAATGCAAATGCTCTCCAGCCACCACTAAGCTCGGCTCTACTGCCAATGTAAATAGCCTTGTATTCTGATCCTTCTTCATCCTCTAAAACCATGTTATACACTATTTTCGGAAGATATTCCTCACAAAATCTACTAGGTAGACCCTGACAAAGTAAAGATAATACATTGGGAAGTACTTCATATGTTAATTTTATTTACAAATAATCTAAACATTAAAGAATGTAAGACCATATAGTTAAGATATTCAGAACTGAAACATACCAACCAAAAACAGCTATAAACATGGGACCGGACCATAGACTTTATAAAAGATGGTTTCGAAGAGTTCAAATTGATTAGGAGTGCCTCTGTAGCCTCCAAAGCATGACTTCTTTCTTGACTTGTAGCTTCTTTGATTTCGTCTAGTGGCCTTGCAATGTAACTGAGTCCCATAACCTTGTTGTTAATATTTAAATTAGTAATATAAGGAAGTCATTGAGTAATTAATTAACCACCTTCCCCATGATGACGGAATCGACCTCGACCTCGACCTCTTCCAGGGATTTGGAAGGTCTGTGCCAAACTGCAATAAAATGAAATATACAGTCAAATAGACATTTGTGCTAGACTATCACGAAACATGATAGCTAAATTATCATACTTGTCTTAGGGTAAAAAAAAACTCAACCACAAATTGCTTGTAAAAAAATTTCTACTACATTCATTCATACTAGCTTTAGATATTCCATTATCCAAAGGTGATTTAATCCTCTTTCTTGAGTCATACTTTTTGTTTGATTCATTGCATATGGTTATTTGAACTTTGCAAGAAACCTGTGCTTACCTCTTCACGATACGAAGCAACTGGGTTCCTTGCACGAGAAGAACGCCTGGGTTCCACTACAACAGTAGCCTTTGATTTTGGTGTGTAAAGACGATCCTGCAGAGAAACGGAAAAAAAGTCAAAACTGAACGCTGGTTCCTTATTGAACAAAACAGAACCAAAGTGTGAATTGGGGTGGCAACACAGTAACTTTGAGAGACGCTCATCAAAATCCTAATCTTGTTAATTGTGGACGGACTTCACTCTGATGAAGAAAATTATAAACAACTAACAAATGTAAAAGCTTGGGGAAACTATACCTTCCAAAGTTCTTTTTTGGCTTCAGGTTCTTCTGCAAATACGAAATCCGAGCCATTGTGCTCAGGAACAATTTTTCGAACAATTTGAGTTTGTTCACGTGCATATGCCTCTGAAGAATATGCATAAAGATTAACAGTAAGCTAAGTATTACAACTACTTAGCAAAATGTGGTGCACTCATTAAAAAGAACATTACCTTATTTATTATTGACAAGAACACTGTATTAAGCCTACTTCATTAACACTTTGTATGTCTATGGTATGAGAAACTTACATCATTAGAACCCAAGAATCTTCTCGGTTAATAGATAACAGATTCACACTATATCCAAAAATGAGATGACCCGACAAAATTGACATTTTCATGTTTTAACCTTTGTTATGTGGGTGACCATATCAACCCTTGACACCTAATCACCATAAACAGAAAAGCTATGATTGGATCAAGAATGATATAATATAAAAAATTAAAGTCAGAATCCTACCTGTATTCCAGACATCATAGTGGCAATAGCAACATCTGATGCATCCTTCACAGAAGGGAAATTGCACATTACAACCTGTTCTTTGATTAGTTAGGTAATCTGTATGATTTCAAATAACTCACATTATGCACTTATTGCAGTAGCTCAAATGCATTCTGGTAGAATAGAAGAAGCAATGAGTTATCTATGGACACTCTCTGGTCTCAATGATAAGCAAAACTAAGCTGTGAAGCATCCATTCATGGAAGGTGAGAAAATTATAAGGGAGTTAATTAATAGATAAAAGTAAAGGAACAAAACAAACCCTGCAACACTCTTCCTAGCTCGAGATGCAGTCTTCACAATATCTCCATTGGCAAGAACTACCTAGTAGTGTAACATACTCGTCACTTTAAATATATAAACACACCAATGCATTACCAGAATTTGGGATTAACAAACCTTGAGACTGATGACATTATCAAGCATAGTTCCATACCTACAGATCAGTAAGGAGAACCATCAGGGCTAGTAGGACTTACATCAAACTGATCAAAATTGAGTTCAGTAATCTTAACTAAACTAATAAGCTGGAAGCAATCAAATACTAGACTTTGAAAGGGCCGACAATTTAACACCTAGAGATGTTAAACATTTAAACCAGCAGGTGACCGTGATAGCCAGCAATAAATGAATAAACATATAACAGAAAAGTAAGCACCTCACAGCTAATGATCCAGAACAGCGTGTAGCACACATCCTTCCAATACTTACAGCAGGACCTGCTTGTAACAAGTAAATGCTTCAATGTTCAGGGAACAAGCATTAAAAAAATCAATGCTTTCTTCCAGATTTCCATGTCTCTTATGTTCATCTACAATAACAAATATTCTCAGAACATATCAACTAACCGGGATCAAGTGGAAAAAATATACCATAAGGTTCCAAATACTCTTTAAACTCCATCCACCCAATTCCAGGATCAACAACCACGTCCATGTCATCAACATGTAATGCTTTCACTTTCTAAAGATTCAATTGTAGGCAGTGTAGTAAGTATAACAGATAAAGGTTTGAAAAGTAATTTAGGGTTTGAGAAGACAAACCTGTTAAGATTCGAATTGATGGTGATTGCTTTGACGGTAATTTGCAATAACAGCGTGAGTCGCTGAGAAAAAAGTTTGTGTCCCTCTTTTTCCAAGAGCATGAATGGAGATTTCTGAAAAAAGATGAGAAACACGGAGAATCAGTTTTCAATTTTAGCGGAAAAAAGAGGAAATTTTAAAAAAAATAGTACAGTTTTATTTTAATTATTTTTTTATATTTCTCTTTAATGTGATTGAAATGTATTGTTTATTTGATATTTTATATTATTATGAGTATATATAGTCTAATTTTATGTTTAATTTTTATTATAAAAATTGTTTTTAAAATTTTTAGTTTATAAAATTTTGATATATAGTTTAATTTTAATAATTTAATTTTGGATATAATATTTTGAATTTAATTTTTACCATAAAAATTGTTTTTAAAATTAAATTTATATTTTAAGTATATATAATATTTAATTTTTATGTATTTTAAATTTAATTTTATTACTATTAAACTATATTGTCATGAAAATTATAATAATTATAATAATAATTTATTAAATTAATTAATAAAATTAAAAAGGTTAGAAAATAAAAATGAAGAAAAAAGTGGAAAATTAAAGAAATAAAAAAAATAGTGATTATGATTGACTAAAGTAATTGCGACAGTTCGCCTTAACTGTCGCGATTGCGGAAAGAGGGCGGTTCTTTGGTAACTGTCGCATTATTTTATATAACATGCCTAAATAATTTGCGACGGTTGGCTCAAACTGTCGTAGTCCAGGAATAAGGAAGGTTTTTTGATAACTGTCGCAAAAAATCTACGACAGTTGACCCTAACTGTCGTGAAAACCGTCGCAATCCATGAATAATGACGGTTTTGTGATAACTGTCGCAACTCAAGTGTCGTAAATCTCCTTTTTTCTTGTAGTGTAAACCTTAGAAGTCAATAGTTTTATTAGAACTTGGTATTATTTATTAATAATTAAAAGACATTTCTTTATTGTGTTTGTTTTTTCAAAATAATAAATTCTCTAGAATAGTTAGTCTGTTTAATGAAATGATAAGTGTGACTTAATCATGAAATCTCATTAAACATAAAGACATGATTGTTAAAGTATTTGTAGTTGAGCTTTATTGTGAAATAAGATAACAATCAAGACTATTATATGGATAGACTGATCGCATCTCATGGATCATGGATAAAGTGTTATCGAGTCTTAACATAAGTGTTATACCCCAAAATTTTACCCCTTAGATGTCATCATCATTTGTACAAGATTGTTAGGTCAAGCATCCTTGCATAACTAACCAAACTATCAAGCTTTGTGGTTTTGTTTTTGTGGAAATTAGAGTTTTTTTCAGGAAGTTAAAAGCACTGATCAATCAAGGTTTTGGATGGATCACTAACCAAGTTCATCATCATCATTTTTGGATGAATGAAGCAAATGGATTGACAAAAGTGGATTTTCTTCTCTTCAAGACAATAAAAAGTCCTAAGGAAGTTAGGTGTGAGTTACTGCAAGACTTGAGAATTAGAAAACCCAAAACATCTCTGGTTCACTTCTGATCAGTTGAGGGAAATATAAACTTCAAAGAATTTTCACCTATGCCTGGTGCAAAGCATTACTTGATCAAGATGAAGTTGTTGAGTAGTGTGGGTATTTTGTTTGTCTCTTCACTTGATAGAGGTCCAAAGCTTATGAGGCCATTGGTTTTAAGTTCGAAAGGTGAGATTTTCTCCTGTAAATTCATGGAAGTTTAAATTTGAGTCTAAAGGGTAGAATTATGCTTAAAAGTACTAAGGTTTAAAAGTCAAGGATGGACTCAAGGTGCGAATTTGATCTAATTTGATTTGGATTCTTAAAATCTCTTCAAGTATGTTTTGATTGGGAAGATCTCATGACCAAATCCCTTTCACTCATTTTCAATTCATTTTGGATGCTCATTGTTCGATTCATACAAGTTATGTGCTACCATTCCTTTGATCATTTGAGAATTTTTACCCATGTTTAACTTTGAGGCACAATTGAGATGGATTTCATAAGGAAATTTCATAAAGTTTCATATGCTCAAATTATAAGTTTGTTTTGGATAGAAGAAGGAAATTTCATAACTTCATTTGTTTTGTTCAAACACAATTGTGCTTTAGATATAACAAATGCTTCAATGTTTTGTTCAAGTACAAGTTTGTTTTTTTGGTGATAATTCAAGAGATTACACAAGGTCCAATACCTATACATTACAATTTTTAAGTTCATAGGCCTACAACTAAGAAAACTAGGATTCTTCATGCTTCATGTTACAATTCCATGCCATCTTTGTCTTCTTTATGCGTCATTCATCTTCAATCATATCAACTCCATGCCTTTCCTCATCTTCATGCTCCATGCCTCACGTCTCCTACATGCTTTCATGCTTCAACCATGCTTCATCAATTCTTCACGCATCACTCATCACCATGCCTTTGATCACCAATCCATGACTTGCCAAGTTCCCTACAAAACCAAACAAATACAAGTTGTCATCAATTACAAGATTCAAGAAAATTCAATCCAAGACAATTTCACCACATTCATCAAGTTCCAATTTAGCCTAAACCAAAAAACACATCCAAGTCATTTCAAATTCAAACCAAATTTCAATTCAACCATCAAAACCTTTGAAAACCAACTTATAAACCACAATTCAACCATCAAAATCCAATTCAAAACTTTGTCATCAAACACCAAATTCAACTTCATTCATAAACCATTCCAAAACTATATCTAATTTCAAAATCAATTCAATCATATCAAAACTAAATTCATATTCATCCATATCCAATCTTCATACAAAAAATTCCAACAATCCTAAACCAATTTATAAACCACATCAAAAATATAACCTAAATTCAATTTTATTCATATCCAATTCAATCAAAATTCAAACAAACCATTTCAATTCTTTCATGCCATATTCAATCTTCATCCCTCAAATTCAAACAATCAAAAAACAATTTTCAAACATAATTCCAAGTCCAAAACTATTGCAAATCCGTGTCAAAAACAAACCAATTTAAGACATTCAAACCATCACACATTCAATATGTAACATTATTTTCATGTGTCACAAACATCCAAATTCAAAATAGTCCAAATTCAAAACAGTCCAATACAAGATAGTTTCAGAATGTGCAAAAAATTTCAGAATGAAATAGACAATGCATCACAGTTCAGAATTCAAAAAACAGGAAGGATTCAGAGTACCAGGTCTAATAGAAAAAACCTTAACAGAAAAATAGAAAAGGACAAACATTTTATAGCAGAGATTCAGATTGCACAACAGACAAGAATTCAAAGTTTACTAGGAATCTTTTTGGACTTAGCATAAAGGATTGAATCAGAGAAGAAAACTAAAAAGGAGGAGAACCCTAATTCTAGGCGCACCACCACACTGAGAAAAAACCATAAAAAAAAACCTAAGAGTTCTTCTACACAGAAAAAGCATAAAAACTATATACTGAGAGATCTTGGATTAAAAAAAGCCACTCATAATTTCTCATTGGAATTTTCAAGTAACTGAGCTAAAGCCCTTACTCATCATCAATCCATCAGCAATCACAAATATTCAAAGAAATATTCATAGCATCACAATAACAACAATGACAACCAATCAAGCAAAGGAAGAGCATAAAAGAAAATAGAAGGAGAATGAGTAAAGAGGAACAAAAGAGTGAAGAGAAGACACATACCTTTATCGCGTCGAAGTTTAGACGTTGGACCAGTTCCGATTTTGGTATGAAACTACCCTCCTTAGTGCCTTATGACATTGATTTGTTTCTCTTCATACTTTATCATTGTTAAACCCTCTTTTAATTGCGCGATTACGTCGTTTAAGGTGGATCTAGGGTTTTAGGTTTTTATTCTGGTCTCTTTAATATAGGCAATTCGCATCCGAACTTGGAAATCCTGAGTCCATATTTGGACTCAGAAGGTTTGGTTTAGTGGGGATACGGGGTTGTTCTTGTGTTTGGCCGGAGAGAGGTGGCGGCACCGTCGAGGCCAGCTGCTAACCACCGTTTTCTCCGGCGGAATTTTAGGTTTCCGCTAACCCATTTTTTCATCTGTAGAGAGATAGTGAAGGAACACACACACACACACACACACACACACACAGAGGGAGAGAGAGAGAGAGAGAGAGAGAGAGAGAGAGAGAGAGAGAGAGAGAGAGAGAGAGAGAGAGAGAGAGAGCGAAGGAGGTAAAAATCCCAATCGAGTCACGTTTTGTTCTGGTTTCCATCTGATAACGTTTCATTTCTTTTTGGTTTTATTGTTTATTTTATTTATTAAATATCATTTAAACTGGGATTGGCACATGTTTCATCTCCATCATTATTGCTGAGTTTTCTTTTTTGTTTTCTTTCTTTTCCAACATTTTAGGGATAGTGGATGTGAAATCTTGTGTGCCTCTCCCTTCTTTCCTACTGTGAGATAGACCATAGGATAGAGTCAATGGTTTGACTCACTTATCAAGATCAATGCGCTAGATTAATCTCTGGAAGTCAATCTTGGACCAGGGTCTATGAGGTAGACCCTCAGGCGTCTGGGCCCCTTCTTGGTGTGCCTTGGAGGCTTTTTCCCTTTTCACACCCTTATTTTGCTATCTGTCAGCCCATCCAATTAGCCTAATTTTCTTTTAATTACTCTTTGTATATTTATTCTATTTGTTATATATATATATATATATATATATATATATATATATATATATATATATATATATATATATATATATATATATATATATATATATATATATATATATATATATATATATATATATATATATATATATATATATATATATATATATATATATATATATATATATATATATATATATATATATATATATATATATATATAT